ACGCACACACACCCACACACACACACACACACACACACACACACACACACACACACACACACACACACACACACACACACACACACACACACACACACACGCAGAGAGGGACAAAATGCTGCAAAACATGCGATGAAACATCCAAGACAACCCACGGTTTTGGGGTTTTGTGGTTCACCCTAAACTTTAAACCTCTAAACCCCTAAAACACTGCGTTCTAGAGGCCACCTTCCTTGGGGACTGGGACATCTTCCACCTCGACAGCTTGGAGGATGCGGAGGCTCCGTCCCTGGTGACATCCATCCTGGAGCCCTGGTCTCGGCTTTTCTTGTTCAGGGTTTTGGTCTGTGTTTAAGGGAATTTGGGGGGCTTGGTGGAGGATTGGGGGGGTTTTTAGGCGTTTTGTTTTTTGTTTTTTGTTTTTTTTTGGGGGGGGGGAGGTATTTTGGAGGTTTGGGGTTTGGGCTTTTGGGGTTTTGGTGTAGGACTTGGGGTTTAGGCTCTCGGTGTTCTTTCAGGGTTTAGGGTTTTGGGATTGGGCTTTTTGGTTTGGTCATAAGTCATAAGCTTTGGACTTCAAAACCCCTCTGAATAGGATTCTCCCAGCAAACACACGGCTTACAAGGGCCTGTTGCAAACCCTAGATGGACCCTTAACCCTCTACAACCCCGTCAACAACCCCCTCAAGTTGTAGGGCGTAGAGTAGCTTTGGGACAGGCTTAGAGTGGCAATATTTAAGGTCATAGAGTCTACGGGAGGCTCCAATGTAGTTTTTTTGGGCGAGTTATAGGGGGTTCTCGTATACCAGCCTAAACTTGTAGTTACTATGTGGGAGCCTTCAGGTGGGGTTTATGGGGGCTCTGAACCCAAACTCCCCCAAACTCCCCGCAAAGGATACGACCGCCGACGGAGATCCGGCTTCGGACGCCACCCGCCTGGATCGGCACAGCAGCACCGATCCGGAGCTCCTGGAAGACTGCCGCCTGCCATGGAATAGGTAGGACCTTTGGATCTCTTGAGACATATATGGTCGGTTCTCTACATTTGGGTCCCTTTCGGGGTGCCCTGGACCCTAAGAGGGGCCATTATTTAGGGAAATCACCATCTGTATATGTATATATAATTGCTCACCCCCCCCCCATGATCTAGGTCGAAAGGCCTTTCGGGCCCATCGAAGCGAGATTTAAACCTAAGTCGGAATGAAAATTAAAAGGCCACTGGCCTCATTCGTAGTAAATTTTTTTAGAAATCTAAATTTGCCAATTAAAAGCCGCACCCTATGAAATCCTCTTCTGGGGCCTGCCTGTCCGTAACAAAATCTCACAAGAGCTTTATATGCAGAGGTTACAGCCTCAGAAATCCTCATCTGGGCTCCCTTCCTATTTTATTGAGAAAATGCTTCTACATAAGAAGCCCACACCCTACGAAAAGAATTCTATACTTAAAGGCCACACCCTATGAAATCCTCTTCTGGGCCCTCTTAATGAAATTTCAGTAGACTTGTGTCTGATAAAGCCACAGCTTCGTTCGTAATTAACCCAAGTAAAAAAATATTAAGAGGCCCAGCCCCAAGACATCCTCTTCTAAGCCTCATTGATTAATACCTATTTAGAACATTTTTGTTTTTCCCACACCCTGTGAAATCTTTCGCTGGCCCCATTCGTAATGAAACGCAATTTGATTTCATATTGTAAGCCCACACCCTAAGAAATCCTCTTCTGGGCTTCGTTCGTAATTGAACCCAAGTAAAGCAAGTGTATATTCAGAGGCCAACCCCAGGACATCCTCCTCGCAATGAAACCGAGTTAGAATTCTATATTGCAGACCATACCCTATGAAATCCCTTTCTGGCCCCTATTTGTAATGAAGATTAATTAGAATTCTGTATTACAAAGCCACACGCCAAAGAAATCCTCATTAGACCTTCGTTTGTAATTAGACTTATTTTCGATTTGCCAAGATGCTTGTATTAAAAAAAGCCACACCATTCTGGGGCCTGTTCGTAACAGAATCTCGTAAGAAGTTTATAATGCTAGGTAAGAAGCCCACACCCTAAGAAGTTCTGACCTAGGCTAGGTTCGTATGTAACTCTTGGACAGAAATTTATATCATGAGCCCCCATTCGTATTTGAATGTACTTACAATTCCATATTTAACCGCTAGACCCTATGAAATCCTCTTCTGGTGCCTATTAGTGAAATGTCAACAGACTTGTATATGATAAAGCCATAGCTTCGTTAGTAAATTAAACCCAAGTCAAACAAACAAATTAAGAGGCCCCGCCACAAGACATCCTCTTCTAAGCTTCATTGGTTAATACCTATTTGGAATTCTATTTTGCAGACCACACCCTATGAAATTCTCCCCTGGCCTCGCTGCATACTACAATGTTATTTGAGGTTTGTATTAAAACGCCACACCCTAAGAAATCCTCATCTGGACTCGTTTGGAATTCCACTTAAATTGAATTTTAAGTTTAGAGGCCACACCCCTTTTGACAGAATTTAAAAGGCCACACCCTAAGACCTGTGTATGGTAAAGCCACAGCTTCGTTCGTAAAACCAAACCAAGTAAAACAATTAAGAGGCCACGCCCTTCTAAGCCTCATTCGTTACTACCTCTTTGGAATTTTATTTTACCGACCACACCCTGTGAAAGTCTCCTCTGGCCCCTCTTCGTAATGAAATGTAATTTGAGGTTTGCACTAAAACACCACACCCTAAGAAATCCTCAACTGGACTTCCTTTGTGATTCCACTTAAATAGACGTTTAAATTAAGAGGCCACACCCCAAGACATCCTCTTCGAAGCCCCACTTTTTTTTAAGTCCAATTAGACTTTTGAATTGCAGGTCCACATCCTCAAAAGAACCACACCCTAAGAAACCCTCTCTATTTCTATTTCTTTTTTTTATTACTTTTCATATTAAGACGCCACATCCCAAGACATCCTCTTCTAAGCCTCATTCTTAATTAAATCTAATGGAACTTTACATGTTAACGCCACGCCCTGCATACCGAATAGGCTGAATTGAAAAAAAACGAATGGTGGGTGTGTTTGTGTGCTTTTCTCTGTGTGTGTGCAAGTCACATTAGCAGAAACAACGTATAACAATACACATTCTTTATACAAGAAAAGCATTTTTTGCAAAATTTGCTAAAAAAAACAAAAATCCAAAAATCCAAAAATTCAAAACCATGGAGCCGGGAGGCCGCCTGTTTTGGATTTTTTTGTTTTCTCGAGGTTTTTTGGTTTTCTTTGGAAAAATCCAAAAAAAAACCATGGTTTTTTTTGGATTTTACTTGCTCCTGGCCTGAAAAACCAAAAAAACACATGGTTTTTTTTGGATTTTGAGTGAAAATCCAAAAAAAACCATGTGTTTTTTAGTTTCTGAGACCAGGAGCACCTGAAATCCAAAAAAACACGAGGGTTTTTTTGGATTTTCACTCAAAATCCAAAAAAAACCATGTGTTTTTTAGGTTTTTCAGGCCAGGAGCAAGTAAAATCCAAAAAAAACATGGTTTTTTTTGGATTTTCCCAAGAAAACCAAAAAAACCTCGAGAAAACCAAAAAATCCAAAAAAGGCGGCCTCCCGGCTCCATGGTTTTGAATTTTTGGATTTTTGGTTTTTTGGATTTGTGTCAACATTTGCAAATTCTGCAAAAAAGAAGTGTTTTTTACATACAATTCTGTGTTTATAAGCCTGTCCTATGCAAATAATTCATAGACATGTTTACCAAATTGCATTTTCCTGTGTTTTTGGGGTGTTTTTTTATGTGGTGATGTGGAAGTAGTGCTAAACACACGCGTTTTTCACTATTTACAGGTTTTCTCGCATAGGACCAGACGTGCAAAAACAGGACATCGCCTAGCATAGCCAGCATGTCATTTTAATCGGTATTTACGAGGGTTTTTATAGGGACAAAGCAAAACCTAGATCATGGGGGGGGTGACCATATAATTATATATATATATATATACATATGTATATATATATATATATGTATATGTAATTTATTTATGTCTTTATTTATTTGTTGGCCTTAACTCCTCAACCGCTCTATGTACACCCGACCCTTAGAACTGTAAACCCTCAACTAAACCACCCAAAGCGCGGATGCTTCAACCCAGTAATTCTCCAAGACCTCTTAAAGCCCTTGAAGCCCTTGAAGCCCTTAAACCCCTGAAAGCCCTGAAAGCTCAAGCATTTAAAGCCCTCAACCTTGCGGAAAGCCCAAAACGCCAAATCCCGCCGAGGCTGGGCCGCCGTGGCACGCCTCCCTTTGGCCCCTTGAGCTCACCCTGCAGAGTTTCGGGGTTAGGGCTTTTAGGATTTGTTTAGGGTTTAGGGCGTAGGGCTCCAGGGCTTAGGGTTTGTTTGGTGTTCAGGGCTTCCAGGGTTTAGGGTTTATTGGGTTGATAAAGTTTTGGGTTCAGTGCTGACGTAGGTGTTACTTTTTAGGGATTTGAACTTCAGGGTTAAGGCTTCAGGGTGTTCAGTGTTTGCAGGGGGTTTGTAGGTTTGGTTGGTTTTGTAGAAGGGATTGGGGTTGTTTAGGGCAAACCATAGAATTTGAAGTTTACAGTCTATTGTTTAAAATTTTAGGGTAGGGAATGTGGTTTGGGGAATAGGAGGAGGGCTAGGGTTGCCTTACTGCCCGAATTATAGTTCTGGGACTTTCAACCGAAGTTGCAGTGCGCATAACCAAACGAGGGAGTGCTCCAGGAATTTGGGGGCTTGCGGTTCAGAGTAGTGGAGCGGCAGGGAAGTTACGCTGCTGGATTCACCGTCGGCATGCGGTGTTTCTGGGAGCCACCGTTTCGCACGCAAGCAAGCGTTGGAGTCTCGGTAGCTCTTGAAATGTTTTTGCGTCAGGGAGAATCCGCTCAGCAGCTCTTGAGTTTAGAAGAGTCAGCAGATCATGAACACAAGCTCTGGGAAAGGTTTTTGAATCCTTAGTTGCACGAGCTTTTTGCACAGCATATTTCGTGTAGACCACCATGGCGTCCAGCGCAGCGAGATGGATGGCACTTCTTACGGCGGTCATGTCGTTTTGGGCCTGTACACCCAGCTTTGGTGTCCCAGCCTCGAGGCAAGAGCCGCTCAGTGTTGTCAGGGAAAGAACTGGGCTGAGCATGAGCCAAAAAGCTCCGAAAGGGACCTTCGAGCTGTCTCGGGAAGAGGAACTACTCGCGAGCAGGCTTTCAGAGCTGGGAAAGAAAGGCGACTGGCAATCAGCCCGTCGTCTGTATGGAAGCTACACAGGTTCTGGCGTCCCGGTGCTGAATGCAGCAATGCAGGCAGCTTACCGTTGCGGGCAGTTCCAGGAAGCAGCCAGAATCTACAAAAAGCTACGGAATCTGCGTGTCGAGGTGAATGCGATTAGCCTGCAGGTGGGTCTGAAGATTTTTGGTAAGTTGCAAGATTCTGCCATGGTTGGGGCGATATGGGCTGAGGCCATAGAACGCGAATGGGCTGATCGATTCACATGTGGTGCTCGCATTGATGCAGCAGCTTACACTGGGGACGTCGAGGGGGCAGCGACTGTGCTAGATACCATGTTTACCCGAAAGATTGAGGTTGACGTGCAAAAGTTTAGTTCAGCGATCTTAGCTTGTGCTAAGGCAAAACGGCCTAGCCACAACGCAGCCATGTACCTGTTCAATACCATGTTGGACAACGACATATCACCGACGATCGTGACCTTCACCAATTTGGCACAGGCGCATGTGAAAGCAAGTCTTGAGCAGATCCAGCGTGTCCGTGCGTTGATGAAAGAGTACAAGGCCCCTTGCGACGCAGTTTTCGCTGAGTCGTATTTGAATGCCCTGCTCCAGGGACGTCGGGTCCCTACTGGTACTGGTTCCAGTGTTCAAGCCCTCACCGCGAAACTTGCAGATTTGCCTGAGCGTGAAGGAAGGTTGAAAGAAGCCCAGAGCGCGCTGCTCGAGATGCAAGCTGCCAACGTCAAGGTGACCGCACTATGTCAGGCATTCCTGGGGTATGTGCAGCAAGCGGGCTTGTGAAACCATCAGTATGCATGTTTGCTGGTGGTTCTGGACCGTACATGCTGCCGGCTTTCGGATCAACAAGATGCAGAAGAGACCTGAGCAAAATGCCTTGAACAAATGCGATGTCTTCGCAAGGGTGCAGCTCTCCCCACGATTGATATTCCTGACCTTGGATCTCCGTTCCGATTCTTCCGAGGCCCTGCAGATTGACTCACAACCATTCATCCAGCCAATAATTTCAGCTCTTCCTGACCCCAAGTCTGAGCTGCGTGCCTATAAGACATGGAGGACGGAGCAGGACTCCACTCATGAGAAGAACCCCATAGACCATTGAACCGTTTTGCTTCGTTTGTTCGCTCTAAGAGGACCTGGGATTCGCGCCCTGCGTCCTGGGTGAAGTTTCGGTGTTGGGAGGAGTACTACTCTACTCTACTGTCTCCTAAGGAGTTCTGTTCTTATAGAACTCAAGGCCATATCGAAAACATATAATTACGGTTAGACGGGGTGTGTAGAAGTTGGTTTTGGGTTTAGGGTTTAGGGGTCTACAGGGTTTAGGTTTTAGGTCTAGAATTCAGGTGTCATAGCGTTCATAGCTTGCTTTAGGGTATGTAGTTTCTGTAGGCTTCTGGTGTCGGGGCGATGGCTGGCAAGGTTGAGGGATTTAGAGGTTTGGGGGTTTGAGGCTTAGGGATTTTCACGGCTTTGTCGGGCTTTGTTGGATATGGGCCTTTTGGGGTTCCGGGTCCTGCTTTTAGGGTTTAGCTCCTTTATGTTTTCGAGTTGATAGCTCAGGGTTCATAATTAGGCTAGAGCACTTTCAGGGTTGACGGTGTCTATGGAGTGCTTGGCTTTCCGGTTCTGTACAAGGGCGAGGGGAGTTAGGGCTTAGGGTCACCCCGCACAAGCTACAGCAAGAAAGACACCTGCCCGCGAGTGAGTGAGTGACAAACGCGCCCCCGCGTGCTAAACAGCAAGAATAGCACGGGCCCACGAGTGACTGCGGGAGCGCGCCCGGGTCCCAGCAAAAAAGGCGCCCTTCAGGACGCGCCCCCACGTGCCACAGCAACAAAACATGTCCCGCGAGTGGGTGAGTGAGTGAGTGAGCGCGCCCGCGGCCTGCAACAACAGCAGCAAACAGCAATGCGCCCCGTGGCGACAGCAAAATTGCAAAACGCGCCCGCACTTTGCCTACAGCAAAAAAGGCCCCGCCCTGCCGACGGGAAACAAGAGCAACCAACAAAGCAGAAACGCCACGCGGCAACAGAAACCAACGAAAAAAAGCCCCGCAGCGACAGCAAAAAAACAAACTGCCCCGCAGTGACAGCAAAAACACAGCGACACCAAAAACAAGCACTCTTTGCGGTTGTTGGGTTCAGGTACCAGGGTTTTGGGTACGGTTTGGGGGTTTAGGTATGGTTGAGGCTTTTGATTCTATAATGACGGCTACACTTCTTTCGCCAGCATACGTATTCGTTTCCAGGCAGGCCGCTCACAGGTCTTGGTACGTCAGGCAGCATAGCCTGAACAGGGTTGAGGGTTCAAGGGTAAGGGTTCAGGGTACTTACCCTACGGGTCCATGTACCTTATGACATATACCTTATGATTATACTTGGGCCCCAAAGTCCCTATATTGGAAGTACTTTAAGGCCCAAGGTTTTCAACAATCAGGTACATGGACCCTTAGGGTTACATACGGTGCTCGCCTGAGTCCGTCCTCGGCTGGCAGTGATTTCTTTCTTCTGCATGCTTGTGGCTTGTAGTGCTGGATCGGAGTTGGAAGCTAGAGTGTTCTGCATTCGCTGAAGTCGTGTATTCGATGTTTGGTCGGCATGGGGTCTGTCTTCCGGCGGTCCAGATTTCTTCACACAGCATTCATGTGGAGTATTGGAGTGTCGGTAGCTCTGAAATGCGTGCATCAGCGATAGCCTTGGCGGAGAAGCAGCAAATATGAGCTGTAGAGGTTTGTCATCTTAAGTTGCACAGCAGATTCCGTCTTGACCATGGCCATGAGTTCAGCAATATGGATCACACTTCTTGCGACGGTAGTTTCGTTTTGGGCCTGTACACCCAGCTTTGGTGTCCCAGCCTCGAGGCAAGAGCCTCTCAGCGTTCTCAGGGAAAGAACCGGGCTGAGCATCAGCCAGAAAATTACCGATCCGGCCTTCCCGCTGTCGCCCAAGGAGGCAAGGCTCGCGAGCAGGCTTGCAGAGCTGGGAAAGAAGGGCGACTGGCAAGGTGCCCGTCGACTGTATGGAAGCTACAAAGGTACAGGCGTCCCTGTGATCAATGCAGCCATACTGGCAGCATACCGCTGCGGACAGTGCCAGGAAGCAGCTGGAATATACAACAAGCTACGGAATTTGTGTGTCGGGGTGGATAAGGTCAGCCTACTTGCGGGCATGAAGATTTTTGGAAAATTGCAAGATCCTGCCATGGTTGACACGATATGGGCTGAGGTTACAGAACGCGGATGGGTTGATCAATTCACGTGTGGTGCTCGCATTGATGCAGCAGCTTACATGGGGGACGTCGAAGGCGCAGCACACGTGCTGGATGTCATGCAGAAAGGAAAGATTGAGGTTTACGTGCACCAGTTTACTTCAGCTATCTTAGCTTGTGCCAAGGCAAAAAGGCCCAGCCACAACACAGCCCTGTACCTGTTCAACACAATGTTGGACCATGGCATATCGCCGACGATCGTGACCTTCGCCAACTTGGCACAGGCACATGTGAAGGCAAGTTTAGAGCAAATCCAACGTGTCCGTGCCACGATGAAAGAGCACGACGTCCTGGGCAATTCAGTTTTTGCTGAGTCGTACTTGGGTGCCTTGACCCAGCGGCGTCTGATCACTGCTCGAGACGCGCAAGCCATCACTGCGGAGCTTGAAGATTTGCCTGAGCGCGAAGGGAGATTGAAAGAAGCTCAGAGCGCACTGCTCGAGATCCAGGCCAGCAACGTCCGGTTGAGCACACTATGTCGGAGGGTCCTAACGTTTCTGGAGCAAGAGGGCTTGTGAAGCCATCATGATGCTTGACTGGTGTTGGTTCTGGACAGTGTGCTGTGCCAGCTTCATGAGGATGCGAAGAAACAGCAGCAGAAGCTCTGAGATATGCGATCCCTAAACCCTAAACCCTAAATCCGAAACCCTGAACCCTAAGCCTAAGCCCTAAACCCTAAACCGTAAACCCTAACCCTAAGCCGCACCTGACCTGGGCTTTCCATTTTGACTCAGAAAGTGTCTCACCAGCTTGCAAGATCCCTGCAGGGAACCGTTTGCCTAAGCCCTTTGAACCCTAACTAACCAGGGTTTAGGGCTAGGGTTTAGGGTTTAGGATTGGGGGTTTAGGGTTTAGGGTTTAGGGTTTATAGGGCACAGTGTTTAGGGTTCATGGTTTATAGGGTTTATAGGGTTTATAGGGTTTATAGGGTTTATAGGGTTTATAGGGTTTATAGGGTTTATAGGGTTTATAGGGTTTATAGGGTTTATAGGGTTTATAGGGTTTATAGGGTTTAAGGGTTTAGGGTTTAGGGTTAGGGTTTAGGGCAGAGAAACCAAACAAACCCCTTGGAGATCAGCATGCCCTCCGAGACCCCATGCGACTTCCCTAAGCCCAACGTCTCAACGACACACGTAAGACATCCAGGGATGAGCAGAACTCCACTTCGGAATCGGCCCCTAAATCCTCGCATTCTTTGTTCGTTTGAAGAAGACCTTTGATGGGCGTTTGGGTGATGTTAAGTTGTTGGGCATACTGCCCTTAGGAGTATTACATAGTATTACCCTAAATCCTAAACCCTAATGGAGGAATCATAAGAGTAGTTGTGTCGCTTCTGAAGTCTGGAGGCGGAGGGCCACCGGAGGTCAGGCTTATGGCCACTTTCAGGGTGTTTTGGGGCTTGTGTCTACAAGGAGGGGCCCCCTTACTATACTAGCTATAGTTAAGGGACTGATAACCTAGTTTTAGGATCCTTATAACCTAATGTAGGGTCCTTATAACTGTATGTAAGGGGTATATAAGGGGTCCCCATTGAAGCGCCCATACTAAGGGACCGTGCAATTCCCGTAGATTGTTGGTCTTTCAGCGCTTATGGGGCTAGTAGGCTTTCGGCTTTATGGGCATGAATTTCATCACTTTACCAACCTGCGGTTACGTTTGCGACCCAATGTGGGCCCTATATTGACAAAAAACACCAGGTGGGGGGGGGGTTCCCTCTTATGACGTGCGGGGTGTGGCGTTAATTCGGGTGCATGGTTTTGGGCTTTTAGATTCGAGAGAGGATTGAGCTGAAGCAGACTTGAGGATCGAGTCTTGCACTATAACTACCCTAAACCCTAAACCCTAATCTCTCATCCCTAAACCCTTTACCCTAACCCTAAACCCTAAGCCCTAAACCGCGCACGCATGTGCACTCGTTTCCAGGTAGGCCTCTAACCGGTCTTGATGCGCTTGTCCAGTGGCTGGCCATGGAAGTGTTCCCTAAACCCTAATTAAACCCCAACCCCAAACCCTAAACCCGTGTTTTGGAACTGGGATGGAGTGCGGCATGGTCTTGACGCGCCATTGTCGCGTATCCGATCTTCGGTCGGCATATTGGCATATACAGTATACATTGTTTTTGCTTCAGGGATGGAGTATTGGATTGTCAGGGTCTTCGGTTTTTTTGCAGCAGAAATGCCCTTAGAAGAAAGCAACTCATGAGCTACAGTGCTTTGGGACTTACGTTGCAAAGCAGCTCCCGTGTTGGTCGCCATGGCTTCGAGCTCAGCAATATGGATCACACTTCCTGCGACGGTAGTTTCGTTTTGGGCCTGTACACCCAGCTTTGGTGTCCCAGCCTCGAGGCAGGAGCCTCTGAGCGTTCTTAGGGAAAGAACCGGGCTGAGCATCAGCCAGAAAATTACCGATCCGGCCTTCCCGCTGTCGCCCAAGGAGGCAAGGCTCGCGAGCAGGCTTGCAGAGCTGGGAAAGAAGGGCGACTGGCAAGGTGCCCGTCGACTGTACGGAAGCTACAAAGGTTCGGCCGTCACGGTGTGCACTGCCGCCATGCAAGCAGCGTACCGTTGCGGACAGTACCAGGAAGCAGCTGCGAAAAACAACAGGTTGCGGAATTTGCGTATCGAGGTGACCGAGGTCAGCCTGCTTGTGGGCATGAAGATTTTCGGAAAGTTGCAAGATCCTGTCATGGTTGACGCGATATGGGCTGAGGTTGCAGAATGCGGATGGGTTGAAAAAAACTCTTATGTGGTGCCCGCATTGATGCAGCAGCCTATATGGGGGACGTTGAAGGGGCAGCGAAAGTGCTAGACATGATGCTAACACGACGACTTGAGCTTGACGAGCACAAGTTTAGTGCGGCTATTGCCGCCTGTGCCAGCGCAAAACGGCCCAGCCACAACGCAGCCATGTACCTGTTCAATACAATGTTGGACAACGGCTTTGTGCCGACGATCGTGACCTTCACCAACTTGGCACGCGCACACGTGAACGCAACTCTTGAGCAGATTCAGCATCTTCGTAATTATGAATGGGTACGACATCCCTCTCGATCGAGTTTTCGCTGAGGCGTATTTGAGTGCTTTGATCCAGGGGCGTAGGGGCCTTGCTCGTAGCAGCTCCAGGTTGAACCTTGCAGATTTGCCTGAGCGTGAAGGAAGATTGAAAGAAGCTCGAAGCGCGCTGCTCGAGATGCAAGCCGGCGGCGTCCAGTTGACTGCACTATGTCAAAACATCCTACAGTATGTGAAGCAGGCAGGCTTGTGAGGCCATCATTATGCATATTTTGCTGGTGGTTCTGGACATGCTGCCAGCCTTAGGACCAGCAAGATGAGTAGAAGAAGCCCTGAGCAAGATGCCTCGAACAAATGCGATGTCTTGACAAGGCTGCAGTTCTCTCCGCAATTAAGATTCCGGACCTTGGCTCTTCTTTCCGACTCACAAGATCTCACAAGCCTTCGAGATTTGTTCACGGGAACTGTTTCTTGCGCCTTACTTACTATGAACCCCCCAACTAACCAGGTTTAAGGGTTTTCGGGTTTAGGGCACATAAACCAAACCCTTGGAGGTCAACAAACCCTCCGAGACCTTCTGCGCTTTGCCTAGACCCAACATCTCAACGGCGCACTTAAGAATTAGTTAGGAATGCGTAGAACTCCATTTCCGACTTCGGCTCATGAAGAGAGCCCCTAAATCCTTGCTTCGCTTGTTTGTGTGAAGCGGACATGCGATGGACGCACTGAACACTGGGTGAACTTAAAGACCTTAGGTGTTAGGTCTGTTAGGTGTTGCTCACCTTATACGGCCCACTGACATGTTGAAAACGCCCTAAACCCTAAACCCTAAACCCTAACCCCTAAACCCTAACCCCTAAACCCTAAACCCTAAACCCTACGCCCTACGCCCTAGACCCTAGACCCTATAGACCCTATAGACCCTATAGACCCTAGACCCTGTACCCTGTTCGAATGGAGTATAGAGTAGGGGTCGGCTCTGAAGTCCAGAGGCGGTCGGCCACCCATAGGATTTAGTGCATTTGGTGTTCAACGTCCAGGCTGAATTCCACTACGGTTCCAAGGAGATTAAGCGTGCTTCTAGTGTTTAACGTCCAGGCTTTCTCAGTGTTACGGTTTAGTTCTTCTAGGGAGTTCTTTTCGGTTTTTGGAGTTGGGCGCATGGTTTTAGGCTTTCAGATCCGAGAGGCTTGTTGAGCTGCAGTCAACCTAAAGATTGGATTGTAGCGACGGAACCACGGTCTAGTTTCTCCATGTGTAGTCTTCTCCAGGCCTCTAACAGGTCTTGATGCATCATACAAGGAGGGGCCCCTAGTTATAAGTAGAGTTATAAGAGCCCTAAATTGGGTTATAAGGATCCTAACTTAGGTTATAAGCCCCTTAACTATAGTTAGTGTAGTAAAGGGGCCCCTCCTTGTACAGCACAGCCTGAAGAGGGTTGAGGGCTCAAGGCTCAGAGTTGAGAATGCTTTGCCTGAGTCCGTCCAGCGGCTTTTGCAGGGATGGACCGCAATCTGCCCTAAGTCGTAAGTCCGAAGTCCTAAGTCCTAAGTCCTACACCCTACACCCTACACCCTACAACCTAAACCCTAACCCTAAACTCTAAATCCTAAACCCTAAACCCTAAACCCTAAACCCTAAACCCTAAACCCAGCCTGGCACATGAACTGTCCATTCCCGAAGCCCAAGCTTTTTCAAACAGCATGTTGGTGGAGTGTCGGATTTTGGTGGCGTTGGTTTTTTGCACCAAGGATAGCCGTACAAGAAGCAGCAGTTCACGAACTACTCTGCCTCGTGAGCTTAAGTTGCAAAGCAGCTCCCGTGTTGGCCGCCATGGCTTCGAGCTCAGCAAGATGGGTCGCGTTTCTGGCGGCGCTCCTTTCACTTTGGGCCTGTGCCCCCAGCTTTGGTGTCCCAGCCTCGAGTCAGCAGCCTCTGAGCGTTCTTAGGGAAAGTGCCGGGCTGAGCATCAACCAGAAAACTCCGAACGTCGAAGGCCTGTCACTGTCTCGCAAGGAGAAGGTACTCATGAGCAAGCTTGCAGAGCTGGGCAAGAAGGGCGACTGGCAAGGCGCCCGTGGACTGTATGAAGGCTACAAAGGTTCGGCCGCCCCGGTGCTCACTGCCGCCATGCAGGCAGCTTACCGTTGCAAAAAGTACCAAGAAGCTGCTGCAATTTACTACAGGCTGCGGGCTTTGCGTGTCGAGGTGACCGAGGTCAGCCTGCCTGTGGGCATGCAGATTTTCGGAAAGTTGCAAGATCCTGTCATGGTTGACGCGATATGGGCTGAAGTTACAGAACGCGGATGGGTTAATAGATTCAATTGTGGTGCCCGCATGGATGCACTAGCTTACATGGGGAACGTCGAAGGGGCAGCGAGTGTGCTGGACATTATGCGTACACAGCGAATTGACCTTGACGAGCACAAGTTCAATGCACCAATTTTGGCTTGTGCCAATGCCAAACGGCCCAGCCACGACGTAGCCATGTACTTGTTCGAAATGTTACTGGACAACGGCTTTGCGCCGACGATCGTGACCTTTACCAACTTGGCACGGGCACATGCGAAGGCAAGTCTTGAGCAGATCCAGCAAATCCGTGCCGTCATGAAAGAGCACAATGTCCCTGGCAATAAAGTTTTTGCTGAGTCGTATTTGAGTGCCTTGGTCCAGGGGCGTCGTCTGAACTCTGCTCGTACCAAACAAGCAATGACTGCGAAGCTTGCAGATCTGCCTGAGCGTGAAGGAAGACTGAAAGAAGCCGAGAGCGCGCTGCTCGAGATGCAAGCCAGCAACGTCCAGTTGACCGCACTATGTCAGGCCTTCCTCGAGTATATGCAGCAAGCCGGCTCGTGAATGCGGGTGGCTCAGGCTGCCAGCGTTTCGCATCAGCGCGATGCGAAGAGTAGACAAAAGGCCGCACAAGCGGCGTTCCGATTCAGGGTTGCTTAAGCCCAGGGCCCATGTATACTTGAGACATGAAGGACGGGGCAGACCTTTGCCTCCGAACAGGCTCAGCGAGATCATCCCCAAACCCTTGAACCTAACTGCTTGGGATTGGGATGTTCCCCCTATACTAGGATACCCAGTAGTACCCTTATTCCCTTTTTGGGGGGTCTAGGTTCCCCTTATAAACCCCTTTAAGCAAAAAAGGGCACCCTTTTTAAGCCTAGGTTACTGGGCAGCCTTGTATACTAGCAGTCCTTTAATAGGGGTTTAGGGGTTAGGGTTTAGGGTTCAGGGTTAAAGGTTGGGATGTTCCCCCTTATTCTAAGAGTCCTTAATCAGGATGATAGTACCCCTCCATGATAATCCCTATTCAGGACTGTTAGTACAAGGGGGAACATCCCAACTTACTGCTCTGTTTGTTTCGTGTGAAGAGGAGGACTTGCGATGGGCGCCCTTGGGCGGGCAGAGTACTGAGGGAGTAATGACACGAAGTTAAGTTAGGCTGCTTTCTGGTTCTCAGGCGAGCCCTGAACCCTAAATCCTAAACCCTAAACCTTAACCCCTAAACCAGAGGCAGACGGCCACCCAAGTGTGCCAACCACTGACGGCATGGAGACGCTAGATGTGCGGCACGGCCGCAAAAACAAAGGATGTCATTTATGGTTTAGGGTTTAGGGTTTAGGGTTTAGGAGATGCAGAACTTGCTGTATATGTATATGATAGTCACATATGTATATAGATCCGCGCTTTGTAGTGTGGTTTGGGTGTGCGTGTGTGCTTATGACAGACAACCTGGCTAGAGACAGCCACCTCCAGGTTATTGAGTTGTCTTGAAACCACCAAGGCCGAGAACGAAGGTGTTAGAGCCAAACCGCCTAAGCCCACGTAATAACCCCTCCAACACGAAACTTGTGAACTTTTAGGATCGAGCCTTCGTGCTTCGCACGGGGTCAAAGTTTAGGGTTTCGGGGCTTGAGGCTTACCCTAAACCCTCAAGCCTAAACCCTAAGCCCTAAGCCCTAAACCAGTTAGGGTTAAGGGTATTCGGGCCCATTGAAAAGCCCTCCAGTCGCCGTCCTGAGGCGTTGGCCTCTCAGGGTATTTCCTAAACCCTAAACCATGGACACGAACTGCTGAACCCTCAACCGTCCCCCCCTAATTCTCCCCTGAACTCTAAACCCCAAACCCTAAACGCTAAACCCTAAACTAAACAATGTAGGCCCTAAACCCCAAAGGGTTTTGAGCACCTCTTGGGGCATAGTTTTGGGGACTGCCGGAGACAAGAGGCTCCTCGATACACACCTCCCCAAATGAGAGCAGTTCTCTTCATGATGGTCGCGCTTGGGATGTTTCGGGTTTGTAGGGTTTATAGGGTTTCTAGGGCTTCTGGGGTTTATTCATTTTACAGGTTTTATGGAGCTTCCGGGGGTTTTAAGGTTTCTAGGGTTTTAGCGGTTGTTAGGGTTTATCGGGTTTATCGGGTTTAGGGTTTACAGGGTTTAGGGCTTGGGCACCCGAATTAGGCTCCGGATGATATTGGCGGTGGGGGTGGCTTGTGGCTCCTAAACCCTAAACCCCAAACCTCAAACCCCAAACCCCGAACCCCGAACCCAAAACCCCAACCCCCAAACCCCAAGCCGTAAGCCTCAAGCCGCAAGCCCCAAACCCCGAAGCCCAAACCCCAAACCCCAAACCCAAAACCCCAACCCCCAAACCCCAAGCCGCAAGCCGCAAGCCCCAAACCCCGAACCCCAAACCCCAAACCCCAAACCCCGAACCCCAAACCCCAAACCCCAAACCCCATACCCCAAACCCCAAACCCAAGTCAGGTTTTACAGCTCCTCGGCAAGCCTGCAAGAGCGAGTGGAGGCCTGGCCACCGTCGGTGCTACATTACAGTGGCCTCCAGGGGATCAGGGGTTCCCCAAATATGCTTCAAACATGAACCCTAAACCCTAAATCCTAAAACCTAAAGAACCTCCAATACCCCGCCCCCTGGACTGCCACCTCCGACCCTAAACCCTAACCCTATCCCTAAGGGTCCATGTACCCAAATGGGGAATACGGCAGGTACCTCCTCAATCATAAAGTACATGGACCCTTAGGGGTTTGCTAGTAAACACCACAGCCCGAATTCCTAAACCCAAGAATGCACGGGATTCTTTCTGTCTTCAAGTCGACTTGTAGAACTTCAGGTTCCACTTGCCTAAACTCTGTGGCCCTCGAGGGTTGAGCGTTTATAAGGCTTCCGGGTTTGGAGTTGTGAGCTTGGGGTGTTCGGACTCAGGCAGGGTTTAGAGCGTAGTTTTTCATGAGTTTAGGCTTGTGAGCTGCGCCTTTAATCCCTTCCCCCTTAATACTAAGCCCCACCCTAATTTTACATGGTATTTTTCCCGGACCCTCCCGGCACCCAGCCCAATACTGACCTGTTGAGAATTCCGGAGGGGGGGGGGGGGGTTGTTAGGGTTTCAGTTAGGGTTTAGGGCTTAAGGCTTAGGGGGTTTTCAGGGTTAATTAGGGCTTAAGGCTCAGAGGCTTTAATTCGGGTTTACGGTTTAGGGGGCTAAGCCCTAAATCCTGGGGTTTAGCCTTGAGTTGAGCCCTAGGGCCCTGGGGTTTAGTCTTCGGATATCCGGTTTTAGGGTTTAGGACCCCCCCTAATTTTAGAGATTTTCCGGCCGCGGCGAATTTTAGAATTACGGGTTGGGTTTTAGTATTAGGGGGAAGGGATTAAGGTCTTTAGGGCTCAGCGTTTAGGGCTACAGGCTACAGGATCACATGCAGGGATGACGGTTGCACTATGACTACGGTCTACTTTCGCAAGCATGTGTAGACGTTTCCAGGCAGGCCTCCGACAGGCTTGATGCATCATGCAGCATAGCCTGAACAGCGTAGAGTTTGCAAGGCTTAAGGGTTGAGTGTGCGTACATACGGTGTTTGCCTGGCCCAGTGGCTGTAAGCGGAAGCATCAATTCTGCATGCTTGTGGTACAGGATCAGGCATGTAATCTGGCATGCTCCATGTCGTGAATTTACTCGATCTCCGGTCGGCATATGGGCACATACAGATTCCTTCTTCCTGAGTAGTTATTGGATTGTCGGTATCTTCCATCTTTTGCAGTAGGAATACCCTTAGAAGAAGCAGCAAGTCGTGAGCTGTAGTTGCAGTGCTTTGGGGCCTATTTAGGGCTTACGTTGCACAGCAGATCCCGTGTTGACCGCCATGGCCTCGAGCTCAGCAACTATTTGGACCGCGTTTCTTGCGGCGCTCATCTCACTTTGGGCATGTGCACCCAGCTTTGGTGTCCCAACCTCGAGGCAGGAGCCTCTCAGTGTTCTCAGGGAAAGAACCGGGCTCAGCATCAGCCAGAAAGCTCCGCCAGTCGAAGGCCTATCTCGCAAGGAGAAGGTGCTCATGAGCAGGCTTTCAGAGCTGGGAAAGAAGGGCGACTGGCAAGGTGCCCGTCGACTGTACGGAAGTTACAAAGGTTCGGCCGTCACGGTGATCAATGCAGCCATGCAGGCAGCTTACCGTTGCGGACAGTACCAAGAAGCAGCAGGAATATACAAGAAGCTGCGGAGTTTGCGTGTCGGGGTGAACGAAGTCAGCCTACTTGTGGGCCTGAAGATTTTCGGAAAGTTGCAAGATACCGTCATGGTTGACGCGATATGGGCGGAGGTTTCAGAGTGCGGATGGGTTGACAAGTTTCGATGTGGTACCCGCATTGATGCAGCAGCTTACATGGGGGACGTCGAGCAAGCGGCCAATGTGCTAGATATCATGTTCACCCGAAATTTTCAGGTTGATGCGCCAGAATTTAATTGAGCTATCTTTGCTTGTGCCAAGGCAAAACGGCCTAGCCATAACGCAGCCATGTACCTGTTCAAAAAAATGTTGGACTACGACATATCGCCAACCATCGTCACCTGCACCAACTTGGCACGCGCAAATGTGATGGCAAGTCTTGAGCAGATCCAGCGTGTCCGTGCCGTCATGAAGGAATACGGTATCCGTTCCGATGCAGTTTTCGCTGAGTCGTATGTGCATGCCCTGATTCAGGGACGTCGTCTGATCTCTGCTGCGAAACTTGCGGATTTGCCTGAGTGCGAAGGGAGATTTCAAAGAAGCTCAGAACGCGCTGCTCGAGATCCAGGCCAACAACGTCGAGTTGACCGGACTATGTCAAAGAGTCCTAAAGGCTGTGAAGCAAGCGGGCTTGTGAAGCCATCAATGTGCTTGCTTGGTGATGACAATAATTACGTGCTGCCAGCTCAGGAGCACGGCAAGAATCAGCAGCCCTGAGCAAGACGCCCGGAACAAAACCACGCCTGCTGACCTTGGATCTCTATGCGTTCCGGGACGGGGATGCTTCTTCCTAGGCAGATCTGCAGAAGGTCTTACTCTCATGCCTTGCTCTGGACATCATCAAGCCCTCCAAGACCTTGAGCTCCGGAGCCCAAAAGTGTCCACTTCGGAACTGGCTCATGAGGGTTTCGGGTTTAGGGTCCCCTGAACCTTGTTGCTTGATCTTTGATGTGATGAGAGGACCTGCGATTGGCGCCCTGCGCCGTTGGGTGAAGTTTATTGCGGTGTCTGGCGGAGTACTGCTCTACTGTCTTCTGAGGAGTTCTGTTTATAGATTAAAAACATAAATCGCTCATCATGGTTGAAAGGTGACTGTAGAAGTAGGTTGCGAACGGCAGGGGTTTTAGGGTGGAGGTTCTTGTGCTCAGGGCTGTAGGGTTTGGGGTCTGGGGTTTCTTGGGTTTAGGGGTTTAAGCTCCACCCTTTGGGTTGAGGGAACTCCATGTGCCAGTGGCTTTTTTTGGAGTTGAGGGGCATAGCGGTTTATGTTTAGGTTCTGGGTTTCGAGCTTAAGGTTTTTGGGTTTCGGCTTAGGAGCTCCTCAGGCTAGGCGATGACGCGATTACCAGCAAACCCGAACCCACCGACAATTCGCTGGCTATGCCCCGCCCTTGAACATGCGCAAAGAGACTAGGTTTGAGAGGGCTTAGTGCGGGTTATCTTCTACAAGCCGAGTGATGCCCTTCCCCATTGTTTTGTTTCGGCAGGGTCGCCAGCTCGACTGGGGGCTTCGGGTTTAGGGTTTAGGGTCTCGGGCTTAGGGTTTAGGGCCTCATTGGGTGTTGCCTCAAGGGGTTTTGGGTTCAGGGTCTTGGGTGCTAAGCAGCGAAAACCCTTAAGCCCAAACCCCCTCCAGAAAATGCAAATTCGGGAGGCGCTTTGGTCGTGCTTGCACCGCGAAAACTTCAGCAAGCTGCCTCCTGTCATGTTGGGGTTGAAGGCTTGGGGGTTCAGGGGTTTAGGGTCTACAGGGTTTGGAATTTCGGGGTAGGGCTGAGGGTTTGGGATTTTCGGGGTTTAGGTAGGGGTTTAGGGTTTATCGGGTCAGGGTTGTTAGCATCTCCAGTCTGAGCTTGAGCCCTGAAAGGGGATGTTCGGTTGTCGTTCGCCCCAGCCTTGAGCCAAAAACCTTAAGATGAATAGGTAAGGGCTGGAAGCTACCGTGGGCAGCCCTCAAAGCCTAATTGGTTTAGGGTTTCCATTTTAGGGTTTAGGGTTTAGGGTTAATGCCAATATTTTTCTCAGAGCTTCGCCTCAGGCTGAAGCAGCTCTTGACGATACGTTCAACAGTGGTTCAGGACGTGCCACCTGGCTGAAGCTACGGAGGATCGGAGTAGGGGTGTAGGGGTTTGGGGTTTTTGAGGTGTCTCGGGTTGTGGGCGTCCTAACCCTAAACCCTAAAACCTCAAACCTACTTGAGGTGCTGTTGTGGCAAGAGCTTAGGAAAGTCTGCGGCTGGTGCCGCAGAGCTGCCCTCCTTGGCCAAGAAAGCCTGCCCAGCAGCCCATAAGCCGCGCAAGGCCTATAGGCCCCTAAACGGAGAAACCCTTGTAAGTATGGTAAGCTCGAAAGCCTTTTAACAAACACCGAATGAACCCCAATGGGCCCCTAAACCCTAGACCCATAAGCCTAAGCCCTCCTTGTGGCAACGCCAAACACAAGGCTCCACACCAGATCAGGGACCACCACTGCCGAGACCCTAAACCCGAAACCCTTCATCCTCAACCCTAAACCCTAGACTCTAGCCTCTAAACCTTCAGGGTTTAGGGTTTTGGGCTGAGGGTTTAGGGTGTAGGGTGTACGACCAACTGGCGAGCACGGAGGTCTTTACGTGAGGAAGCTCTGAAGGCGGCACGGGAGATCATCGGCATGGATGCCACTTGGATTCTCCCATCATTGGCTCCCTGAAAAGAGGGGTGTAAGGGTGTTAGGCTTCAGCCGTTCAGGCTTGGGGTGTTAGGGTGTAGAAGTTCAGGGTTTGGGTGTTGGGTTTGGGGCTTAGGCCTTCAGGGGGCTAAGGTGGTAAGAGTTTCTGGGTTGCTCTTATTGTTTATTAGTTCTGTATTTTCTTTTTTTTTTTCTTTGGGGGGGGGGGGGGGGGGGGTTGGGGCCGTAGGGCCGTAGGGATTTAAGGAGTTTATCGTCTAATTCGGGTTCTGGTGGTTTTGGGTGGTTTCGGGGGGTTGAGGTGTCTAAAGGGTTGGGGGTTCCGAGGTGCGGTGCAGCAATCCTCTATAATTAACCAAGGAGAAGCTGAGACTTCTCTGACCAGGGTACTGGGCAATTAAGTTGCGGCTTATCAGTTGGAATGTTCCGCTTATCCTAACAGTCCTTAATATGGATTATAGTACCCCTTTTTTATAATACCTATTAAGGACTGTTGTATAATATACCGGGGAACATCCCAACTTATCAGGTCAGCAGGTCTCTCTCGTTAGGGGTCTAGGATATGCTGTTTGTTCAGGCATGCACCCCTCGACAGCAAGTAATCATATACGGCTTGGGGGTTCTGTGGGGTTGTGGGTTGTTTTTTGATTTTGGTCGTTTCGGGTGCACGGGGGACGCAAGGCCCTCGAGACCCAAATTCTGGGCATGACGTCTCCTTGTTCCAGCTGAAGCCTTGAACTCCCCAACTCCTGCAACCTGAAATCCAAATTAGGCGCTCTTCTCAATGGGGTTTCGGAGCTTAGGGCGCCAAACGGGCTTAGGGAATCGGGTTTACCCTAAACCCAGAAACCACATAGATCTATTAACCCCACAAACCCTAACCCCAATAAACCCTATAAACATTAGAAACACTAGAAACCCTAGAAACCCTAGAAACCCTAGAAACCCTAGAAACCCTAGAAACCCTAGAAACCCTAGAAACCCTATCCCTTCCTAGAAGCCAGCCCGCTGAAGGGGCAAAAGCGGCCCCTGTCCTGCCTGCAGACGACGGTGCGCCAGCGCTGTGCGGCTTCTGGGCGGCAGGTTCAGAGTTCAGGGTTTATAGGGTGTAGAGTTTCGAGTTTAGGGTTTAGGGTTTAGGGTTTAGGGTTTAGGGTTTAGGGGTGAAAAGGGAGGGGTTCTGGGGTTTCGGGTTTAGGGTCCCTGGGTCCGCTGTTTCATGGGGCCTTTGCGTTCTTACTGTAACCCTGAACTCTGTAGGCCCTAAAAACCCCCGCACCCTACGTCGCTGGCAACAGTCCTCCCTGAAGCCTGGAATATTTGCTCCGAAAGTAGGTGCCTGTTTCAGAGTGTAGGGTTTTAGCTTAATTGTCGCAAGCTGGGGAACCTATCTATCTCGTCCGCCCTCCAGCATAGCGGGCAAAGGCAAAGGCGAGAGGTAGAAATGGCCCACCCTCGCAAAGCCGGATTGCAGCCTAAACCCTCAACCCTATAAACCCAAAGCCCTAAACCCTACAACAACTGGACCTGGCCCTAGGAGCGGGTGGTGTCTGCTTTGGCGGCGGCCTTGCATTCGGTTTGTGATCGAGGCCTTGAAGGTTTAGGGTTTAGCGTTTAGGGTTCAGGGTTTAGGGTTGATAGTATACAGTGTAGGGTCTAGGTGTTATCGTATAGACTAAAGGGTGTAGGGAGTAGGGTTTCTTGTCTAAGGTTAAGGGTTTAAGGTTTAGTTTTCTTGTAAAGGGTTCAGGGTTTAGGCTTTATTGGGTTTAGGGTTTTCATTAGGGCAGAATGAGGTTCGGCGTTTAGGGCTTAGGTTACTTTGGGTTGATGCGCTGTAGGGATGGGACTTGCGGTGTATATCGGGGCCTGAAGACTTGCAGAGGCTTGCCCTAAGTCCCCTCTCCTTCGTGAAGCCCTCGTAGGGGCTCCCGAGAAGATCTAAGGAGTTTCAGGGCGGGCCTGAGTCCCTCTAAGCCCGTAGACACCCCTTGGCACCCAAAGAATGAAGTCTTTAGACGGAAGGGGGGCCCTCACTGTATTCCTGGGCATGCACTGGGCTTCTGGGTTTTGTTCTTTGGTGCCCTTGAAGTGTCTGGCCTGAGACCTAGAACCCACGATGCCCTAAACTCAATGGAGCTTGAGTTGTGTTGTTTGTGCGTCTGCTCAGCTGCATGAGGAGGTGGGAAAGCAGAAATGAAAGGTTAGCTTGGGTTGCTTATCCTGTCGACGCCCACAAAAAGTTTGGATTTAGGGTCAAGTTCACGCAGGGCGGGGGGCAAGTGTAGGGTTTGAGGGGCCTTTTCTTCCGGAATCTATGAAGCTTGAGGCCACTGCCCAAACGGCCTAAACCTTAAACGCCCCGCGTACACCCTGACGCCCAGATCACCTGAACACATTCGGAGGCGCCTTGCGCTGGCTGGCTGCTGGTGGAGATGCAGCTATGGCTGTCACGTGCTGCTACTTGCAGCTCCGAGCCACTTCGACATCAAGCCATTGAGGGCTTTCGGGGCTTGGAGTGTCTGGGACTAAGCCCTTATAAACCCTTGCAAGACCTACAAGCCCTCAACCCTCGCTATAGAGCTTTGTCCCCGCCCCCATAGGCCCTAAACCCTAACCCTAGCCCGCCCCCAGAGCAGGAAAGCCCCTATATGCGTGTATACATCTACGTATATTTGGAGCAAAAATGCACAAGTCTATAGATATCTATATATATATATATATACACATACACAGACATACTCATATATATATATATATATATATATATATTTCTCTCTTTCTATATATCTGTAGATGTTTATATTTTTTACACACACACACATAGCCCTGTCATAAAATAAACCTCATAACATATCCCCTCATAAGCCAGAAAGCCCTGAGTCTGGCACATGCCGGCCCTAAGGTGGGCAAGGCCACCGGCTTCGGGCTGAGCATGTCGCGCCCTCTGCTGCCCCCTCAAAAGATCCTCAGATGCGAATACTGGGAGGGGGATTTTGGGGTTTAGGGTTTAGGGTTTAGGGTTTAGGGTTTAGGGTTTAGGGTTTAGG